TAAAATGAATTTTTGTTTTATGGCAGTGATAAAGCTTTGTAGCACTAAACATATCTTTAAATATATATATATATATATATATATATATATATATATATATATATATATATATACGGTAGGTTCCCCGCCCAGCCGAAAAAAAAAAAAAAAGATTTAAAATAAAATTAGAAATTTCTTAAGTACATTACGATTTATCAAAATGAAATATTGGTCGGTGAATATTTACAAAGTCCTTCGATATTCTTTATTGCCTAAAAACAGGCAAATACTCGACTCTGCAACAGGCTGTGGTCAGACAACTCAGAAATGTCATGTCGTATATTCAGATCTTCACCGAGCTACTTTCTTTAACAAAAGAGATTCAGCGTAGCAGCTAAAGCCCAAATGACTCACCAAAAACTGAAGTTATATACCTGCTTCTAGAAGTGAATACGCTTTTGTTTCCCTTTCTCCTGTAAAATTTCTAAAATTTCTCTCAGTGAACACTCCAAATGATGAAATTGTTTCCCATGAAAAGAAACGTACACAAAAATCAACTTTTACACACCTTTACATACATAATACATTGTTAGTTATAGAATGATAAAGTTGAAAAAAAATTCTGTTTCGTGTTTCGTTCCTAGAAAGAACTTCTTCAGATTAATAATGGTTTCATCAATGGAGTTAGTACACAAAAATCAAAACTCCGCTTTGATTGTTTGATTTGTTTTTTTTACGGTTTATCGCCCCTTCATATATATTTTCGATTATTTGAATAATTCTTTTGTTTTTGCGAGTGAATATTGCATCAAAAACATTTTTGAGAAAAACAACGATTTGTGTGTGAGTTTCTAAATAAATTCCCGGTAAACAGTGGCCGACCACAACTAAAATCAGCAGGCGGTCGGCAAGTGTTATTTGTGAAAATGAGTATTTTATACTCTTTTCGCAATTTCAAGATATTACAAGCGTAGTTGACGCGTGCATACCATGTAGACACCAACCAAACTAATCAGTGACAGTGTTTAAGTCACTTGGTATGATAGGCATTAAAGTCACCGAACACATATCTGCAAACGGGTGTCGGGAGATGGCCTTCATTCGAAATACTATCTAGACCGCAACAGTCATGAGAGGAAGGGGAACGGTAGAGAAAGAAGAGATAGCTGAGTTAAGTAGAGAGAGACGGAGACACATGTAAGAGTGGTCTAGAGATTCAAGAAAGAGTTACCTAACCAGTGGAAGATGTTCGCGGGCATAAATTCCCAGACCATGCAAGTGGACATTAGAGTCCTTCCGAAGGAGAGGAAGTTAGCTAGGAATCGAGAAATCAGGATTTAAGAGTTAAGATTAGTTTCGCAGAGAGCTAGGATGTCCGGAGATTTTTCGAAGAGGAACGATTCCATACTGCAGAAGTTAGTATGAATAGCACGAATGTTGGAGAAAGAAAGGTTGTGGGGTTTAGGTGGGTTTTGTCTAAATGGTTTAGGTTTATGTCTTTGGTTGTTTATAGTCATGGTGTGTTATTTTGGTAAGGAAAGGCTTAGGGTAATAGTAGCAGTCGGTCGTCTAATGTAACATGTGCAGGAAGGATACTGGCGCAGACTGCAATATAGTGTGGCCCCGGGGTTGCCCACCGGTGGTGCTTGCAAGGCCACTCTTCCATGCACAATATGTCACGATATTATGCAACTGTTGATTAGAGCAGCCTCTAAGACTTTACACAAGAGTTCGGGCTCTTACCAGTCGGGAAGGGCAACCAGAAAACTGCCAACCCGATACCCTCAGTATAAAGAGACGTTACCATCATCCATACATATCACAAAAAATTCATGACAGAACCACTATTAGCCCCGAGAAAAGGAAAAGAACCTGGAACCCCTTTCTAAATAGGAAACAAGGAATGAACCTCTATTCCTGCTCAAGAGAAGATGGAGGAGTATGAACTGGGCGATAGGAAGGCCTATCTACTCCTATTAAAAAAACAAGAACAAAAGACAAACAAAAACAGAAAACAGTTCTGTGTTTGAATTCCATATAAAAAGAATGAATTTTCAGATACCTTATTTGGAGAGTCGAGCTGAGACCCACAGATGCCCCAGCAAACATGCATATGTACCTGAGCACATGGGAGTAAATAAGGACACATGGCACAGTGGATAAAGGCGTTGGTTAAATCCAGTGACAGGACCCAAAGAGTGCGAGTTCAATACCTGAAGGTAGTAGAGAACTTGGAGAGGGGAATTAACAGGAGATAACTGATAACTGACATCCATTAAACATGGCACGTGGAACTGGAACAGTTTACACCAGTGAGCGAAATGAAGGGTTCAGTTCGACATTCCAACCACCTGAAGAAGGTCGGAGCGCACAACGGCCGAAACGTTGTAATAAATATGGCGACAAAGATGAGGACAATAGTTCGAATAATGTAAATAGTGTACATAATAACTCATCTCAGAAATATAGACAGGTATTTAGGGAAGTGTTCTAACAGAGGAGGAAAAGTGCAACATTGAGATCCGAAGACGTATTGGGATGGCAAAAGATACATTCCAAAAGCTAAGCAGAGTATTAAGAGACAGGAAAATTTTGTTAAAAACAAAGAAAAGAGTAATGAACTGTTATGTGAAATCTGCCCTCCTGTATGGCATCGAATGCTGGACAATCTCCTCAAAGATAAAGAAGAGAATTGAAGCAACAGAAATGTGGTTCTACAGAAAGATGCTGAAGATACCATGGGCCGAATATGTGAGCAAAGACGAGGTTTTAGAGAAAATGGAAACAAAAAGGAAACTTATAGTTAACAGAGGCAATTGAAATTTCTGGGGCACGTAAAGAAGATGGAGGGCTTGGAAAATCTGATACTCACAGGGACAGACTGAGAGAAAGAGGAACAGAAGAAAACGGCGTGTAAAATACTTGATGAGCTTGAGTAAATGGATGGCAGAACGGGGTTTTGGAGAAATAACAACAAAAAAGAACTTATTAGGGACAGGAAGATGTGGAGGTCCATGATAGCCTAAGTCCTGAAGGAACACAGCACATAAAATAAGAAGATAGCCACACGACGCACCTAAACGTTTTATAACAACAGTGAACGTATTAAATTGAATTCTATTTACCAAAATAATTTATAAGTAGTTTTATATAGTAATTTCTCCTGGTAAATGGAATAGTTCCAATCAAAATGGTATAGTACCAATCAAAATGGTATAGTACCAATCAAAATGGAACAGTACCAATCAAAATGGCACGTACCAATCAAAATGGTATAGTACCAATCAAATGTAACAGTACCAATCAAAATGGTATAGTACCAATTAAAATTGAACAGTACCAATCAAAGTGGTATAGTACCAATCAAAATGAAAAAGTACCAATAAAAATAACATAGTACCAATAAAAATAACATAGTACCAATCAAAATGGTATAGTACCATTCAAATGTAACAGTACCAATCAAAATGGTATAGTACCAATTAAAATGGAACAGTACCAATCAAAATAAAATAGTACCAATCAAAATGGGACAGTGCCAGTCAAAGTGGTATAGTACCAATCAAATGTAACAGTACCAATCAAAATGGTATAGTACCAGTCAAAATCGAATATTGCTAATAAAAATAGTATAGTAGCAATCAAAGTAATGTATGCTATTATGGGATTTTTAAATAAAATATTTTTGAATAAAAAAATTCAATATTTTAAACATTTTCTTTATAAATTTGAATATACCATTCGTTTTTTTACTGTTAGTTCAACAAATACAAGGCCGAAGGGCCTCTCAAGGGAGAGTGTTACAGAGAGAGAGAGAGAGAGAGTGAGATTGCTGTTAGGTAGTAGGAAGGAACCTATAAGAAGTACATATGAGGACGTGTAGGTTAAATATCAGTAACAATTCCGATAAGAAGCTGGCGGACCCGAATTGTGAGCTGGCGGATCTAAAGGATGTAACTCGCCCGAACATCTGCCATCGTACTCGCAAAAGAGTAGTGAAAGTCTAGCAACGTTTCGTCTGTGTGTTAAGTGTCGCATGGTGGAGAATAATTCATTCATAATACAGTGGGGACAGGGCAGCACCAGCACCAGATCTAGCAGTAATATTCCATTTATGGTTGATTGTCACTATTACACTTTTGATTGGAATAGTTCCATTAAAAATTTTATTGACATTATTCCATTTTGAGGGTCATTTCGACGTGGTGTAGTGGTTAGCAAGAGTGTTTCGTTAGATCAGTTACGACAGTAAGGATTTCAGTCCTCATTGAGTGCTCCATGTCCATGACCTTGTGCCAATCTTAATAGATCACTGTTGCGTTTTCTTTGACACTATTCTTATTTTGGAAGTGAAATGGTATAGATCTGATTATAATTGGTTTCCGTTTTTTTAATTTTCTAAGCCTGCGGGAATAGGATATATAAATTTTTATAGATCAGAACAATGTTAGGCAAATTAATAACAAAGTGGAAAATATTTGGTGTGAGATATTTCGTTCTTTAGGAATTCATCAGACTAATGTTTTTGTTGATGGAATTATATAAATGCAGGAAAGGGGGGGAGGCAAGAAAGGCTGAAAAAAATTTGGAACGCTGAAATTTTGAACTTTTAAATGAAACTAGAGTGTCTAGATGTACAGAAACGCCACTTTAATTCAGTTTCCTGATGATTTTTTTTATTAAGTATCCCACATTGATCTGCCATTAAAGGTGAAATGTTGTAAGAACCTGGATTGATTGACTGACTGATTTGAATTTTTTTTTACGGCTTATCAACCTTTTGAAGGTTATTTAAAACTAGAAAATATTTTTAGATTCTAAGAATTTTGGGGGAAAACAATAAGGATTTACGGATACAAGTCGTATTAATTAACCCATAACTAGAGAAGAAGAGGTGAATTCATACCTTTCCAAAGCGTATTTGCGCATATGTGAATATAATGAACCTGACTGGAATTGGAACTCTGCTCTCCAAATTCCAATTCCATTCCGTTATCCATTATCTCAACCGCACAACCAGTCTTACAACACCTGGTATTCCCGAGCAGTCACCCATCTAGATACTGACCAGACTCGACGTTGCTTAACTTGGGTGAACGTACGACGACCGGCGTTTCAACGGGATATGGGCGTAATCCCGTAAGAACCTGGACGCAAATTTACTGTGGGTGATCAAGCGATCAAAGCACTTTCTATATAATTTCCCCTTGCCTCAAACTTGATTCAGAAATTTATAAAAGACGAACTGGGGGTTGATGGTAAATCATTGAAGGTCCCTGACGAGACATTTATCAATTGAAAATCTGAAGGGGTTGTCCAAACCATTGTTTTAGAGGGAGGGGCCTCAAAAACCTGTCATGTTTATTTTTGATTGGCTAAAATTGCAATTACATCATCAGTCCATTCTTGCAATGTCTAATGAATCTTTTGATTGACAGTTTTAAAAATACCTTCATGTGAATGCAACATATATGAAGCACATTTCGATGTCGTCTCACAGTTCATTAAATTCTGTTGCAGGCTACACTGCGCTTTCGACCCGTTTTACCAGCGAGGAGCGCAAAAGATAAAATTAAACCAAAAACACATGAAATTACTAAAGGAAAACAAGATATCCCTGTACAGGTATAAACTTTAAAATAACAAGAATATTCACAGGATTCGTTATTTTAATTGCATTTGTTTTCTTTCTTTCTTTTTCGCTGTTTACAAAAGGTTTGGGAAGTGTCTCACAACTTTTAACGACGTTGCTGAAGTAAGGACACATGTTAATGTCAATATGTCTATTTAAGAAGCAGCACCGGCTGGAAGCTTCCTCGTTTGGTTTTTAGTGATCGAATCTGCAAAAAAACCTTTCTCGACTTACAGACGTTATCACCGCCAGGTAATCTAATGTAAATAATTTCTTTTTCATTTTGGTTCTGTATAGCTTAGAGCAAAATGATGCTCAAGCAAATTACAGACAATCTTTGTTGCTACTATATACTATGATATCTAACGAGGCATTTGCGACATATCATAAATGACGAAGCACTAATTATTGCTGGAAAATACTCAGGAAAAACGATGACCTGTTTACGTTTTTTTTTTTTCTTTTTTAAAATGATATCAAATCAATTTCTAAACAAACACTATTGATGAGTTTTTATTATCTTTTTTTGTATAAAATTTATTAATGATTTTTAATACATAACCAGTTCACAGTTATTATTCACTGCCTTTAACCCTAACCCTAACATATTTCATATTTCCAAAAGTTCGTAAATATCGTACCATAGTAAAAAATTGAATAGTAGATATACTATATAGTAACATTCAATCTTTTAATTTTCTAAAAAAAAAAAAAAAAATAGCTGTTATCAATTTTTCATCAAATATTTATTTATTTTTCTGTTATTCGCGTAGTTGTAAAATAATAATAAGTAACAATTTTAAAGTGTCACAATTTTCAGACCTTGAGCCGCATTTTTTATTTTCTTATATGTTGCTTTTACAATAACCTTAAATTATTCCAATTTCTTAGATGATCATCGTCAATTAAGTTTTCGGTTAATATTTTTTCCGTTTTTTCCCTGTTTTGTCATCGCTAAGGTGTTGTTTCGTTTTTGCTTTACGGCACTTCAACTGATATTTTAAGATTTTGAATCGTGATTGTTTTGGGTATCGTTTCAAGTTATATGTAGATCACTGATAGTTTTGGGTATACGTTCGAGAAAGTAACTTTTTTCTTTTTAATTTTTTTTTTTTTTATTACAGATGCCGGTTTCTAATATAAATTATTTTGTATCCAGTCTCTGATACAAATTGGTTATTAGTTTGCATTTTTAGTAGAGATAGTTACGAAGTCTGAAGAGATCTTTTTTTTTTTTTTTTTTTTTTTTTTTTTTCCAAGATTTCAAAATAAGGTTTTATGCAGTTTTGTTAGGAGTTTTTCCTTTTATATTTTGGTATAAAGTTTGATTTCCTTTAAGAAGTTAGTGACATTATTTGATTTAGTGTTTTTAGAGTGTATTTGTATTGCTTGCTTGCTAATATTTTGTTCTGGTTTGACTGAGACGATAGCAATTTATGAGTTCGAGGTATCTGTTCCATCATGGCGTAGTTATAGTTTTTAGATTTCAGTGTATGAAATGTGTATCTCCTATTCGGGGTTTGGATAACACTATTTCCCGCGTCTTATTATTCTGAAATCTGGGATGTATACTCACGGAGAAGGAGTAATCGTAATAATTTATTTACTGTATATATACCGTGTCTCTTCAGAAAAAACGAGGTTAATGACTCTCCAGAGCTTCCTGTTTTCTGTTGTTTTAAGCAATACTTTCTCTTTTAAAATCCCAGTTCGTCTTGTGCTAATTGTTCCTTCCGTTCATTCACCAAAACTTGTCAAGTCGTTTACTCGTTGCTTTTTCTGTTTCTCTTTAAATGCCCTGTCAGTGTCAGATTTGCTAATCCCTCTTTCTTCTTTGTGTTCCGAAAAATGATTTTCTATTTTTTACCATCAGTTTCTCTCTTGTTCCTGTTCTCACTGGAATACCCACACCTCACACGTATTATTCTTAGCAAATCTTGATCACTAGACAATCTACATCATCTGAAGCATTCAGTTATTCGTTTATTTACTAGTATTTATTTCGTCTTCATGTCAGTTGCTTTATTTACACTCGCTTTGGTCGCAGCCGTTTGGGTTCTGGCATTTGATTTGGTGTCAGACTTTTTTTTACATGGAGCCATGTTTTGACCCGAATTTTTTTTGCTCTTTTCTTTTTGCATTCCTTCCCTTCCCCAGACCACATTCTGTCATCCACCTGCACAAGCTCGCCAGGTATGTCATGCGCTGCTTTCTCTTGTCTCTCTTTCCCTCTATTTGATCTGTGAGTATCAGATTCTCCAGGTCCTCCTTTCTCATTATGTGTCCCAGAAACTTCAGCTGTCTCTTCTTGATGTTAAGTATAAGCGTTCTCCTTGTTTGCAATCTCTCTAAGACCTCATTGTTGCTCACATGATAAGTCCATAATATCCTTAGCATCCTTCTGAAGAACCACATCTCCGTCGCCTCGTCTTTGAGGAAATCGTCCAACATTCGTTGCCGTAAAGAAGGACAGATGTCACGTAACAGCTCAGTATTCTTTTTTTAGCAAAGAAATCACCCTGTCTCGCAATAGCTTTTGGAATGCGTCCTTGGCACTCCAATACGTCTACGGATATCAACGTCTCACTTACCGTCCTCTGTTAAGACACCGCGTTTGCTTGATTCTAGCGTTCCCGACCTGAAAATCGCATTTCGGGATCTTCCTCTTACTGATGACCATGCATTCTGTCTTCTTGTAGTTTATGCTTAGTACTTTCTTCTCACTCTCCGTCGCTACCTTCTGTAGGAGATTTTGTAATTTCTTTTCCGTGTCTGCTATCAGTACTGTGTCATCTGCGTATTGTATGTCGATAAGGTTTAGCCGCCAATGCTCGATGTCAGCTTTGCACAAGTTTTTCCATCTTTTTATATTTTGTAAAACTAAATGTAATCGTTTTATCAATATGATGGCCGAGAACATAATAACGAAACGTGGTAAGTAAAAAAAAAAAAAAAATGCGCATCTCCAGGTCCTCCTGTATTCGACTTTATTGATAAAACAAGCAAAGCTGACACCGAGTTGAAAAATTTGGTATTGTGAGCAAAATATTCCGTGCAAAGCAAGGCTCCCAATCGTCCCAGTTTGAGACTCCGGCCACCTGCTTGTAAATGCAATTTTTTTTTCATTTTGTTGCTATATTGTAAGATTTTGCAGATTATTTCTCTACGGTTTGTTTGGTAAGCCATATCAAATTCCCAGAATCTGACAGCCATTTATTCTCCGAGTCTGTTTTTTTTTTGTTTTTTTTTTTAAATAGCTGTTACCAATTATCAATCTTTCAACAAGTATTTATTTATTTTTCCGTTATTCGCGTAGTTGTAAAATAATAAGTAACAATTTTAAGGTGTCACAGTTTTCAGACCTTGAGCTGCATTTTTCATTTTCTTATATGTTGCTTTTACAATACTCTTAAATTATCCCAATTTCTTAGATGACACAGATCAGTGTGATCTCTCATCTTCAGCATGAAGATGAGAAATCCCACTGATCATAGCTCACCATAGATTTTTTTTGTCTATTAGTTACCATGACATATTGGGAAAGATAGTGGAATGGTTTACCGTTGCCTCTTTTAAGATTTCATTTTAAAGTTCGCTTTCTCCTAAGCCTGTTCTCATTCAAGTTCAATTTGCCCTGCTGCTTAACCCATATATCGAGGGAGAAAAGTGACTAATATGCCTTTGCCATGGGCATTTGTATAAAAGTGAACGTTAAAGTTTAAGCGATCCGCTTTTACTTCTTGAGATAATTACTGTTATCCGTACATAATACAGACAAACCTCTCATCTACAGACCCCCCACCCCCCAAATCAACGGACTTCGGATGCAACGGACAAAAACTGCAGGAAAAAAAAAAAAAAAAAATCTGCAGGAAAATAAAAACTTCCAAATCGTCAGCGATGTATTTCAACATTTGCGGGCCTAGCGGAACGAGTCGTATTAGTTCTCAAAGTGACCGCTTGGCGGCAGTGGCGGCCCTTTCAATTGTAAACAAAGGCGGGTGTGCAGTATATAAAGTACGACACGTTAGCGAATGCATTAGAAAATAGCTGTAAGAAATCTATTTTTGTTATTTTGTCTCTATATTAAGTATATATTTATTTATATAATATATACATATGTATAGCATTTATATTATGATAATAACTGCTGGCGGTTACTATAGTGGTTTTATAACTTAAAAATAATCCCTTCCCATCTACGGACAATCGGCTTTAACGGACCACCTCTCCCCACTATTAGTCCGTTGATGAGAGGTTTGTCTGTATTTTCTTTTTTATAACCATATATAATTTTCTTGTTATATCTGTTATTATCTGTAATATTTTTTCAAGGACATCATTTTTACGGGTGTCGTAATTGTTAAAGCCTCGGGACGAGAATTCAGAAAGTCAAGATCATTATATTCACTTTCCTACTATAGGAAAGCTATGGATCTATCTATTCTCCCCGCAGCTATGGATTAAATAGTATGGCACACTGAATTATCTAGCAGTGGTTG